TGTATCCAAATAATCATTCAGTGTCCTCTTGAGTGCCTCAATTAAACTGCCTCCATAACATTTCCATGCAGTGCATTCCATACCACAACTACTTGCTGAGTGAAATGTTTTTCTTTACTTCACTCTTGCTTCTTTTGCAGTTTGTTTTAAATATATACCCTCTTCTTCTTGTTCCTTTTATGAGCAGGAATGGTTTCTCCCTTTCTACTGCATCCACCCTGATTGTGACTTTGTATACTTCTATCAGATACACTCTTAGCTTTCATCTCTCCAAGATTAGCAGTCCCAACTTCTTAAGTTCCTCATTCATGGAGCCATTCTTGTAAACAGCTTCTGCAATCTCTCCAATGTTTCATGTCCTTCCTATAATGTGATGCCCAGAACTGTACAGAGTACTCTAGCTGAGGTGTAACAAGTGCCTTGTTCAAGTTCAACATTACTTCCTTGCTCTTGTATGCTAAGTGCCTATTAATAAACCTGAGGATACTTTTGCACTTATCCTGTCACTTTGAATGATATGTGCACAAATGCGTGGACGTCCTTCTGTTCCTGCATTCCCTTTGGAATTTTATCCCTATTTTAGATTGAATTTCAATGTTCTTCTAAACAAAATGCATCACATCACACTTCATTGAAAATCATCTGCCACCTATCTGTCCACTCCAACTTTACAATGTCCATCAGGAATTTTACAATGTCCTCACAGTTTAGAATTCTTACAAGTTTTGTGTCACCTGCAAAATTTGAAATTTCTTCCTGCAGTGCATTATCTAGATCATTAATATACATCAGAAAAAGCAAGGGTCCCAAAAATGACAGCTGGGGACCTCTACTATAAACCCTCCTCCAGCCCAAAAGGTATCCATGACTTTTTGTTTCCTATCAGTAAAGGGAACGTGGAGGCTTTGGGGATACTTGGTGACCAGGCGGTGCATGATGCTGACCATGTCTACCATAAGTTGTGTTCCCTGTCATCAGTTGCCATTTTCTAGAGGTACACTGCAATGAAAAATGGCTTGGACATTGCCTAGGGTGGCAGTATTGTAGGGGCCCATGACTAAACTTGACAAAATGGCCACTTTGGGCTTTTTAGCTGACACAAGATGGCTGAAAGGCATTGGCAGCTACATATGGCAGACTTTCACAGCCAGACTTGTGGACTCTGGACAGAGTTGCTGGATAATATTGAAATAACTGCACTGAGACAGTTATCCTGTCATCAACTCACCTTTTATTCACATGTGCTCAGCACATGTGCTCTGACCAGCCAGCTTAGAACCAGTCCATAGAATGAGGACAGACTCTGAATCTCCTGTTCATATGTCAGCCAGGGCTCACTGATTGGCCCAGGTTAACAGCCCCAGTCAGGGATCTCATTCTAGTCACTACAAAGATATTAAAAGATCCTGTGGTAGTCATAAAAGAGTTCTGGTGGGGAAGAAAAGACAGTGGAATTTAAAATGATTTCTGTAGACAGGGAGCTCTAAACACAAGTATTTCGGTAAAGAATACTCTTGAAAGGATAAAAAGATACTTAGGCAATAAAAAAAATCCTGCTCTTTCAACCAGAGCAGAAACAGCAAATGGTGTAAACAGACAACCTATAAGAGAGCAGAAGAGGTTGTAAAGCATGGAAAATAAACAATTGCAGCTTAAGTGCAGATCCTTCCATTCCAAGATTAGGGGAAACGATGACAGTAACAATTATAACATAATGGTTGCTGTGACGTCATGTTCTGTTATACCTTGAAAATCCAAATAAGTTTCTTTTAGAGACTTGGTGAAGTTGTGCAAGTGACTGAATTTCACCCTCATCAAAGGAATTCCATAGATGCGATCTTATTTAGTAAAAAGATCTAGTTTAGAATTGGGACAGTGAGGTTTATCAAGAATTAACCTTCTGGTTTAAAACCAATGCACAGCATGCAAATAGCAATGGTCATAAACTGCAATTATAAGACAGAGACAGTGTTTGATCTCCGAGGGTCGAGTGAAAGAGAAGCTGCCCCCAATTTGATAGTCTTGTTAAAGAACTATAACATTAGGTATGACTATATAATTTTATATTGGAACTGAGATTACAAATTTTATGACAATTGGTAGAAATTAGCATCATTTTGTACCATTCCTAGTAAGTTTTAGTAGGGAATTTGGAAAAGTTCTTAATGATAACTAAATATCCAGTTTATTGGCAATTAACATGATGTAGCTGGCAAATGTCTTAGAAGGAGTATGACTGTCAGATGCATTATAAGATCCTAAAGACAGATGATGGAGGTATCTGGTAAATATCATGAGATTATGGGAGGTTCTAGGGCTGTCCATAGAGTTGTCAATCATTGATTGTGTGTTTACAGGGTTAGATGTATAGATTATGTGGATGTGACTAAAAATGACATCAATGTTGCATGTAATCATTGTAACGTGAAATGTATGAAAGTGCTGTACTTCGTTGAGGGAACCAGAGTGTCCTAGAGAGGGACCTCTCCCGCGCTGTATGGTAAAGAGCTGTGAATAAAGGTTGCTTCGTTCTACTAAACATGGGTTTCAAGATTCCTCTTTAATATCTCTCCCTCCAGCAAGCACAATCTGTGTAACTTTGATGCATGAACATGTGCTGTCCATGCCTGCTGGACACTAGGACATTGAAGTCTCAAATACATGAACAAACATTTCTTCACAGATATACAATGCATGCAGAGTGAACGTGCTGATGTGTCAAAAGTTGATTACAGGCAGATTGCACCCTACTTTTGGTACTAGCCAAAGTGACATTCCCACCTCAATAATGCAGAAGTTAGCTTCAGTAACTTAAAAGAAGCAAATGTTTGGCAAAAACACTCAGTCATTTGTGGAAGCTCCAAGGGTGATATGGATGAGGGGAATAATGTTGCATCATAAGTTGTGTAAGTATGGTGATGGACTCTAATGAATATAATAGAAAATGATTCCATTAATTTAGGTCTGGGATGTGAAGGGGGTTGGAGCATAACAGGCACTTCCTTTTGGATGTAATGTTTTGGTCACTCAGCTGGTGCCGTACCTTCTTCTTGTGGTGGACATGCACTAGAGCCGTGGTAGAACTGAAAGTAGGGCTGCTGAAGGTCCACAGCTTGGACCAGTCTAGGATGGGGATACCTCCAGCACAGTCCGGATAGACTGTATTGCACAATCCTGGCATCTTGTGTTTTGCACAATTGAAGCAGGTGAACTGATAGGTACTGAGGAACCAGAGGAACAGAAGCATTTGTCTGAGGAAAAGGATGTGGACATTAACTAGAGAAAGCTGTCTTTATGGATGTCAAACCTAGTTGCATTGAACTCTATAAAGCAGACCGGGCCTGACTGACACCTGGTTCCATTAGATGTTACATGGATATAGAAGACCATCATGGAACGTCAAGGCCAAGACGCAAGCATTTTGCTCGTATGTGGGTGTGAACTCTAGTTTTTTAAAATTTCCTTTGTGTTCCCTTTTGCTGGCTATCAATAAAAGCTCATATTAGGACTTGCCTAAATGCTTCCTGTATGTGATGATGTTACCCGACTGGACAATGGCAAGATGTGAGCGACTACCGTGCATTAAAAAAGTAGTATTGGGATTCAGAAGTTTTCCAGATGGATGCAGCTAAAGACGAGTAAAATGTGGCCTAGTAGTTGCACAATGACTAAGGTGGGAAAGTAGGGTTTTGTGTCTGAGGTGGTGTCAGCCATATTGTTTATTTGACATGAAATGTGCAGTTTTGTGCCCACTGTGCCATTACATTGCTGGTAAGGGGTAATGCTGAATTGGCAACATTTGTCGGCTGCACAGTAGTTTCTCAAAGATGGCATGTTTGCAATGGATGGCAGTCTTTCAGTCAATATCTGGTGAGTGGTGAGTTTTTCTAAGAGCAGCATGTGGTAAGATAAGGCTTGAATTGTATGAGGGGGACATTGGGTTGGGGTAGTTATTTAACAAGGTAAGTTCGTAAGATGCGGGAAAAATCTTGCTGGACCTTGTGGTGAAAAATCCTTTGAGAAAATTGATACAACTCTCACTTAGCCAAAAAATGGTATGATTCAGCTTTATAAGTCTTACATTACAGTCTATGTAACACAACTGCCTCTAGAGTGAACTACCTTGTGGGTTTCTATGAAACATAAATCTGAGAGTTAACATAATGTAAAGCAAAATAAATTTAAACCATTTAAAAGAGAGCACATGACCTGCACTGTGTTAAGTGCATGTCAAATGAAATTTGACTGATCTGCTGAGGTATGACTGTTGGATTTGTCTTTTAGATGCGCTATACTTGTATCCTGTAACTGTGCAAAGTTGTTCTCCCCCTGTAACAGAGGACTAAATGTTTGAAAGCACAACAAGCTGTGTAGTTGATCAATGAGTTGCTATTTACTCAGCTTCTTAGAGCAGCTGTGGAAATGACACACAATCCCTTGTTACAAATAATATTTCTCCTATGCAGATGTCATATGGTTTCTTTGTTATACACATGCCACCTGAATAACATAAGTTTTTTTTGTGTGAAGTATTGTGCACATTTGTGATTCTTCAGATTATGTTGATAAATTTTGAAATCACTAGAGGGAGAACATAGAACTACTATTTATATTGTAGGATTACATTTTAATTATTCTACAGGCTTGGAAAAATATCTCTCCAAGGCCCATTAGATTCATGATCTAATTTAGTATTTCCTACATGTGATGTAGTAATGAATTAACTAATTGATCTCTTTTTTTCTAGGCTTATTTTTGCAGCTAAATAGAGGATTGATCACAAAAGAAAATAGGAACAAGAGAATTTTCATGAAGTCGTCCATCCATTGAAAACCACTTGCTGTTGATATTTGACATCAATTATTAGAGGGAAAGTAGTTCTTTAGGATGCTGCGCTTCGATTGAGATGAGTGCACCCTCTGCTATGCACATTGGTCTAGCTTGCAGTCTGCTTCTATTTCATTGGAGATCAACATGTTGCTTGAGCAATACAGTTTAAATGTGCTCCCTCAGCTGCACCTTGCTGACTGTGTGCCAGTTAATTGAGAGTTGAAAAGCATAATTGCTGATTTCTACGTGGCAAGACACAATGAGGAGAAGAAGATATTTGCTTAATCGAACTGATGATATCCCTGTCAAACAAAAGTCAACCGACTGGCTGTATGAGTCGTATTACTGCATGAGCCAGCAGCATCCTTTGATTGTTTTCTTGCTTTTGATTGTGATGGGAGCCTGTTTGTCACTACTGGCTGTCTTCTTTGCTTCAGGGCTGGTAAGATCCTTTCTGTTTCAACATGATCTGAAATTATTTATAAAATAGGTGATGATATATTTTGAATTGTTATAATGAAATAAGCATTATTGTGTTCATGTGTTACATATATCTAAGTTTGTGTCTAAATAGTATATTTAATGTAATTTACACATTTTAAACAGGATTACTATTTTTCCATACATGTCAACGAGAATCATTGTGTAAAATTATTTATCAGTGAAAATTACCAATAATTTGGATTAAAATATGTTGTCAAATTGCAGGGCCTCTTAATTATTTTCTTATGAAAATCCAAAGAATGCTTTTCAAGATAGTCGATATGTGCTTATGGTGAATGCAACATCCAACAAATTCCAAAGTTCTTATAACTTTTATATCATGTAGATAGGAAAAATTGAAGGGAAATGCCTCAGGCTGTCAATTTTGTAAATTACAGAAGTCTATAATGTGAGAATTTTAAAGATATGAATTTTGAAAATAGTATCAAAATCTTGAAGAAGAAAGAAAATGTAGTGTTCTGAATACAATGAATAATTACTTTAAAAGAATATGGAGAATTAATAATCTGTTTCAGAAACTTACTGCAACTAAAGTTTTGTGAGCTACAGGTATTCCTCATCATTGCCTGTTCTAAGACATAATTATTACAATGTCTGACAGAAGGTTGTTTATTCCTTGTTCTATCTTGTCCAACTTTTTGATAAAATTGTGTTTATTTCCAATGATACTAGAAGCAACTGTTTCCTGATATGTGCTAACCTAATAATTTTCAAAACCTGCAACAATACAGAATTGCGTTAATTGCCATGGAGAGGGCAGGAATATAATAGCCTTGAAAGTTTTCTGTGTCGAGTGGCATACGAAATAGAGTCGCTCTGCACAATTCATAGATAGAAGACCAGAATTGTGCTTTACCATTACATGAAATTTTAAAAGAACAGTAAAAATGGCAGGAGAAAGATGTTTTCCTATTGCAACAAAGAGGGTTAAAATTATAATTTTCCCTAAAAATAATATTCACAAAACTTACAAGATAAAATTTAAAGTCTCCACATTTACAAATGCCTTCTGTAGCAGCACATAGAAAAGCCTATGGTCAGAAAATGAAAGGTGTAATTGTATCTTAATCATTCACTTGCAAACTTGTACATTCATTTCCTTTATATAATTTGTCATTGATTTTAAAAAATATATACTTTTGCTGGAGCTTGCTTTCACAGCCTCAGGACATCTTAAAGCTCTTTACAGTCAATGAACTGCTTTTAGAAATGTAGTGTCTGAAGCATGCAGAATGAATACATTATGTTTTGGAATCTGAAATGTAGTCAAGAGATCTTTCTTAGTATACACGAAGCAAACTTCAAAGCACCAAAGAGAAATAGTTTTGCAAAAGAACCACACAAAAGATTATTGAGTTTGAGCGAACGCAGGAAAAGTATCAGAGCTTTTAGGAAGCAAAACTGGAATGGGGACAAAATAAATAGAAAATCATAATCTTTTGATGCTGAAATTTGACTTGGACCAAGACTAAGAAACACAATAATAATTAAAGATTTATGAATTGTGCATGCTACGTCATCTGCAAGGCCTGCTATTATCCTAATCCCTTTGTTTTACTAAGATTTTAACATTTCATTTTTGTTAACAGTGGCATGAATATAGTCTGAAAATCTCTCAGCTGAGCTTTTAACTACAAAGCAGGTTGCACCCAATCAGTGATACTGAACCCCAACTGCTGGTATATTGGAGTGGTAGTTTACTGACCCAATTCTAAAAGCCAGAGCATGCACAGTTTCCTTTAATTCAATTCTGCGACAAAGTTACATCATTATGCACAAGAATATATTTGATTTCTTATATTGGTAAACAATGTGAGTCAAGTAGATATGATGTATGAAAGAGACCATCTTTCACCAGTTTCGCCACCTCCAGCAGGATGTCATCATCAAACATATCTTACCCTCCCTTCCACTGTCAGGAATTGTTCCCTCCATGACATGCTGGTCCACTCTCCCATGGCACCATTTCATGAATTGCAGAAGGTGTAACTTGCCCATTCACCTCCTCCCCCACTTACTATCCCAGGCCCCAAACATACCTTCTTGGTAAAGCACTGTTTCACTTGTACTTTTGTTTTAATCAAGTCTGCTGCTTGGCCGAAGAGATGGCCTGCTGTGTTCATCCAGCTCTATACCGTGTTATCTCTACTGCATTTGTTGTTGACAATATGATCTCCTTTATATTGGCGAGTCCAACCTTATAGAGGTCTATAAGTTCATGAGGTGCATCGATAGAGTGAATAGCCAAGGTCTTTTTCCAAGGATAGGGGAGTCCAAAACAAGAGGGACTAGGTTTAAGGTGAGGGGGAAAAGATTTAAAAAGGACCTGAGGGACAGGTTTTTCACATTGAGGATGGTGCATGTATGGAATGAGTTTCCAGGGGCAGGTACAATTACAACATTTAAAAGACTTTTGGACAAGTATGTGAATACGAAGTGTTTAGAGGGATATGGGACAAGAAGAGGCAAATGGGACATGTTCAGTTTGGGATACCTGGTCAAAATGGACAAATTGGACAGAAGGGTCTGTTTCCATGCTGTATGACTCAATGACTCTAAACACAGGCTGGCTGACTGCTTTGCAGAGCACTCTACTCTGAGCGTTGGACCTTCCAGTTGCTTACCGTTTCAATAAACCACCTTGCTCTCATGCCAACATTTCTGTCGTGGGTCTGCTGCACTATTCTAATGCAGGACAATGCAAGCTCAAGGAACAACATCTCATTTTTCACTTAGGCACTTTACAGCCTCAAAGTCTCAATATTGATTTCAATACTTTAAAAACTGACCACATTATGTCCATTCTTAATTATGGAGAATGAGAAAGATATAAAATGCATGTTAATTAAGGGCTTTATTCTTACATTCTTTCCCCCTTCTCTTCTTGCCCCTTCCCCCAACAGCTTTGTCTTGTTCAAAAACAAAGTTGCTGGAAAAGCTCAGCAGGTCTGGCAGCATCTGTGAAGTAGAAAACAGAGTTAACATTTTGGGTCCGGTGACCCTGCTGAGCATTTCCAGCAACTTTGTTTTTGTTCCTGATTTACAGCATCCGCAATTCTTTCAGTTTTTATTTAGCTTTGCCTGTTTGTGCTTTGTTTTAGCAGGCAGGACCCATTCTGTCCCTTTCATAAAAATAAAATAAAGAACTGCAGATGCTGGAAATCTGAAACAAAAACAGAAATGGCTGGAGAAACTCAACAGGTCTGGCAGCATCTGTAGAGAGAAAATTGAGTAAATGTTTTGAGTTCAGTGATCCTTCTTCTTTTCCCACCTTAATTTACACCTGTTTAACATCTCTCTTTCTTTTTCTCCATCATTAACAACCCTGGGCCTCTTCCACTGTCAAAAGTATTTAAAATAAAACATTTCCAACACTTTTTAATTCTGAAGAAGTCACACTAGACTAAATGTTAATCTTGTATCTCTCTTCATAGATGCTGCCAGATCTGCTGACAAAATCTAGTCTTCTCTGCGTGTGTCCTACGCAGCCAGGTTACACTGACTATACTCTGGCTTACTCCAATATTTACTACACCCCTCTGTGTACAGAGCCCTGTGTGCAATCTAAATGCTATTTAAAGTCAATATTATTCAATGTGAAGATAGAAAAATAAAACAAAAAGTATGAAGGAATTGAAGGCAAATAGTTATAGTGAAAATAAAAGAAACATGAAAGTAAAATGTTAAATTACGCAGAGAATAAGTGAAAGGGACAGTATGAAAGAAAACATGACCAAGAAACAGAAATATATATCTATTAAAGGAGAATGATATCAATAAACTCGATAAGATTTAAGAACAATCCAAAAGAATAAGTCCAATTTCTTGTTTGTGCTACGTGTAAGAAACTCACAAACTCATTTCATAACACAATGCAGAGAGGAAATATTTTGTCAAATAAATAACTTGAGCTTGAGGAAATGAATTCTGAAAATATATTGAGTAGTCTGATTTCACAAACTGCAGGGATTTAACTACTGGTGTTACAGCACAATGTCCTCAATGAAGCAATCTCAAAGAGGTGTTCGCAAGCTGAAATGTTGGCGTTGTGTGCTCCTGAGGCAGCAACGGCCACGGTGGGTCTCCAACTGAGCCACAACTGCTATGTGCTGCTCTAATAGGTGCCTGCTCTCATAGTGACCCATTCCCACAGCTCTCTCAGATCTTAAATACCATACCCACAGATCTTCCCCACCATCCACACTCTCATGGGTCTCTCCCATTTCAGCCATTCCCACCTCAGCTCTTTCAGATCTCCCTGAGGTTTGGCAACAATTTTAAATCCTCAACTTGGAGGCATGGTTGGAAAAAGTTTGAGAAACTCTACCTTAATGAATTAAAGTGCTGGCATAGAATCTACAAGACAGCTGTGAAGAAAATGCTCCAGCTATGGCCCATAACTATCTCTAGACCAGTCAATATGGTTGTTAATTTTATAAAGATGGACTGTCACAACCCATATGATGAAATAGGCACAATCATTGAACGTGTTTTATCCCCTGGATGTAAATCCAGAATTCAAAGCTGGAATTCCAGTGCAGGATTAACTGGTGCAACATTTAAACTTTGCACTTTCTGTCTTAAAAATTGGCTACCTACCATTAAACCAAAGGGTTCCTCATATTCTCTTTATTTAGTGACTGATATCTATTTTCACATTCCAAAAATAATTGCCCAGATCCTCTGAAATCCATGGAAAACTTAATTTCTTTATAAAAAATTCACAATTACCTTCCTCCAATTTTTCTGAGCAATCTTCTGATGGAGGATCCTTCAAAATTGATTCATGACACGAATATTTAAAGAGAGCATCGTAGAGAATCTGTGGAGAAACTACTCTCCCTTATCGGCACTAGCTGCCCTAGCTTGGTAAATGTAAAGATTAAATGTCCCAAACCTTTTTTGAAAATCTATGGAAAGAAGTTAAGTGCAAAAGGT